CAAATTCATTATTTATTTAATTGAAAAAATATTTATACATTAAATTTTGTATTTTAGAATGTGAATAAATTGCGCTCCAATTTTATCTTCCTTCAGGAACAAAGTAGTGTACATATGAAAAGAACATTTTCTTTTACAACATAAGCACAATTATGTCAAAAATACACAAGCTACTGACATCTGGGATTTATTCTTGTATTACTTCGAGGTTAGTTTTCAGAAAATACAATTTTCACGTTAAAGCAATTTTATGAAGAGATCTATGCGAATCAGAGTTCATTTTATGGACAAAATAATGAAAATTTGAAATCTTAACTATTCTTGCTGTACATAATGCATTGCAAAAAAATGAATTACCTGAATCTAGTTCTGCCTTCTCGATGGCTTCATCAGCAGTTTTTAACCAGCAAGGTTGTTTATCCAGTATTGGCATAGAAGGTTCATTCACGTATGTAAAATAGGTTTTCTTTGACGTTTGAAAACAGCAAGGACGAGAAGTGGTCGTTACCGTTTTTAGACATTTAGATAGGTTGACTATTCGTTTAAGAGCTGCCATGGTTCAGATATACTGTATTTTTCTGTCAGTGGAGTACGAGAACACAGTGTCGAGTGGAACGACGATAACAATTGATCTGTAGCTAAGTTATTCAAGGTATATAATATACGAAATTTAAAACAAAGTTTAGAGATTTAGAACACCACTTCAAATAAATTCAGTTTCTCGCGTGCACGTACTTCCGCGAACCATCCGCCACCGTGTCTCACTGCACACTCGCGCCTTCACGGCGCGAAATTATCAGTATCAGGTCCGTAACTAAAAGCAGTACCACTACACAAATTGGATCAAGGATAAAAGAGCAAAAATTTCATTACATTTAATTTTTCCAATCAATGAAAACAGGACATTGAATTTTTGACTGACAAAAAAATTCGCAATAATGTACGTCCATTATTTATAGTAACTTTTTTCTATTAGATAATTCTACGAACTTTACAATTATATTTTCAGTTTTTTATTGAATCAAGTTTTATTTCGTAAAAAAGTAAAGAAGTATTTAGTAAGAGTAAATATACACGGACGACTATAACGCTTTTTTTGTGAAATAAATTATGAAACATTATTACTCGTGTACAAAATTAAATATGTTCAATTGAATGGACCGCGATTACAAGAAAGAGACGGTAATTCAAATAACGTATATATGTGTAATAAAATGTTATTATCTTCCTCCACATATAATTTTTTTTCCTTTTCTCATAATTTATGTTTATTATAATAATGGATTTTATGAAAAGTTTTGTTCGTAATAAATGTACAACGAACCACTTAGTACAAGCCACGTGATCGCACGTGCCATTGCTTCTGTCTTTGTCAGATACTTGCTGCTCATTAAATCTATTAATTTGTCAATGTAAAATCCATTTAATTGGTACTTTATAAAAGATAAGAATCGTATCATTAATAAGAAATTTTTTCCTCTATTCGCCTGGATACATCTGACTAGCTTTAATAATTTATTTTAAAGAATGTTAGACTATTTTAGCCAATTTAGATCGAACATTTGAAGTTACCCCCACCCTCAACATTTAGTCCGTCTCCTTTCACCAAAGTGCTAGCAGTAGTACCTTCTGCTGTGTAGCCGACGTAACAGAGCAGGGAAATCACTGAATAAAATGTTTCCGAAAACTATCTCAGAACGTCAAGCCAATAAGGAACATGTTTTGGCTGTTTCAAGAGATTTTATCTCGCAGCCACGACTTAGTAAGTACCTACATTTATTTGATTAAAATCCATAAGTGAAAAATTCGAAAGGTATAAATACTCAGCGTAAACTGGGCGTAGCAGCGGATCGATTTGCGACTAGTCAGCTGATCCTAGATGCATTTGCTTTTTAATATGTTATAAATGGAAAAAGATGATTCCAATGCATACGAACGTTTTAAATGATCGTTTATATAAATTTAATAAATTGATTAAAAATCAAAAGAAGTTCTTCACAAGAGTCAAATATTAATCATGTGACTATAGATATAGGCTTTGTCATAACAATTCGCCAAAGTTTTTTATACAATATACTTACGTTGATATTAAATATAGGTTTATTTAAATGAAATTTCGTATTGTATGCTAACATTTTTGTCATACTATAAGTTTATGTAAATAATATTAAACATTAAAAAATTAACAATTTAAAAAAATTTTTTTAGCATACAAAACCGTCTCAGGTGTAAATGGACCACTGGTAATATTGGATGAGGTCAAATTTCCAAAGTTTGCAGAAATTGTTGAGTTAAAACTTGCTGATGGATCTATGAGATCAGGTCAAGTCTTAGAAGTATCTGGTTCTAAGGCTGTGGTTCAGGTGTTTGAGGGTACTTCTGGTATTGATGCAAAAAATACTCACTGTGAATTCACTGGTGACATTCTTCGGACCCCTGTGTCTGAAGATATGTTGGGTCGTGTCTTCAATGGATCTGGAAAACCAATTGACAAGGGTCCTCCAATTCTTGCTGAAGATTTCTTGGACATTGAGGGTCAACCAATTAATCCTTGGTCACGTATCTATCCTGAAGAAATGATTCAAACTGGTATTTCAGCTATTGATGTTATGAACTCTATTGCTCGTGGCCAAAAGATCCCTATTTTTTCTGCTGCTGGTTTGCCACACAATGAGGTATTTAAATCAAGATAATGCTTTTTCTTTGTATGTAGTTATTGAAATTTACATGATTGCATTTCATAGATTGCTGCACAAATTTGTCGTCAAGCTGGTCTTGTAAAGGTACCTGGAAAGTCAGTTTTGGACTCTCATGAAGAAAACTTTGCTATTGTTTTTGCTGCTATGGGTGTGAATATGGAAACTGCTCGTTTCTTCAAACAAGATTTTGAAGAAAATGGTTCTATGGAAAACGTGTGCCTTTTCTTAAACTTGGCTAATGATCCTACTATTGAAAGAATTATTACTCCACGTCTTGCTTTAACTGCAGCCGAATTTTTGGCTTATCAGTGTGAGAAACACGTTTTAGTCATTCTTACTGATATGTCCTCTTATGCTGAGGCTCTTCGAGAGGTATCAGCTGCTCGTGAAGAAGTACCGGGACGACGTGGTTTCCCTGGTTACATGTACACTGATTTAGCAACAATTTACGAACGAGCTGGTCGAGTAGAAGGTCGTAATGGTTCTATTACTCAGATTCCAATTCTCACTATGCCAAACGACGATATTACTCACCCTATTCCTGATTTAACTGGATATATCACTGAGGGACAAATTTATGTTGATCGTCAACTTCACAATAGGCAAATTTACCCACCCGTTAACGTACTCCCATCATTGTCTCGACTTATGAAGTCTGCTATTGGTGAAGGTATGACACGAAAAGATCACTCTGACGTGTCCAATCAATTGGTAAGTTTGATAGTTTGTATAAGTTAATGATGGTTCTTAGAAAATGAACTGTTATTAATTTTATAATTTTATTTTAGTACGCTTGTTACGCCATTGGAAAAGATGTACTAGCTATGAAAGCTGTTGTCGGTGAAGAAGCTTTAACACCAGACGATTTACTATACTTAGAATTCCTTTCCAAGTTCGAAAAGAACTTTATCTCTCAGGGAAATTATGAAAATCGTACAGTTTTCGAATCATTAGATATTGGTTGGCAATTGTTGCGTATCTTCCCTAAAGAGATGCTCAAACGAATCCCTGCTACCACTCTCGCCGAATTCTATCCAAGAGATTCACGCCATTAAGTTTTATCATACATATAATTCAATTTTTTTTTTCCAAAAGATCCATAATGAAAGTTATAAATGAAAAAAGTGATTAAAGGCCTGACCCAATTTTGATGATCATACTGAAAAGAATTGAATCTTCATAGAGATTCGAGAAAGTAGTGTCAATGAAATTACAATACTTATGTTAATCAAATTTAAAATAAAAATGAAAGTAATGTGTTTTGATACATTAAACAGTTGGACAATAATGTCGAGTATGTACTATATTTGTACAGAACTTGTGTTTAGAGGGTCAGAGCCATGTTGTACTGTTTAACGTTAATTCTATATCGTTAAATCATAATTTTAACTATAACAATGTTTTGTGTTTTGTGCGAATATTCACTTACAAAAAGTGATTGTGTAAAGTGTAATATATTATTCAGTATTAACACAGAAAAAGAAATATGATTGTATAACTTTATATTTTTTGGTCCTACATTCCAATATAAAATTTTCATCTGTGAAAAAAATATTAAATGTTATTTACTGTTGAGCAAAATGTTTAATATTTTATAGATAAAAAATTATTCGTTTCATATTTTACAAGCATTCATGTTGCTTTAATATTGTATAAAATAGTATACTTGTTTCCAATAAATACATACGACATAGTTTAAACATGAAAGTACATGTAGTTTTGTATGTTAATATTCTAATTACCATGTTAAATACAAATTCATAATATAAAATATATGTATACAGGGTGTTTCTGTATGCATACACAATGTTTATTGGAAATGTTTTACTCAGAATTGCATTCTCTATCAAATTCTAAACTAATGTCCTTATATTTGAGGACACTCTATGTGCATACAAGAATTTCTGATATTAAGTACAAAAAATATATTTCATGTTCAATATGCTTTTTTTATTATTTTACAAGAGAATAGAATGAGTCAAGAAAACATGGTTGTAGTAACATCTTATAAACTATATATGTTCATTCTGTGCAAAACATCATGTTACATATTTTCAGAATCTGTGTAATGCTTTTTGATAAATTTAAAATATTATTTTATAATCAATGGTCAGGTTTTAGCTGCTAATTGATGGACTGCTAACTGAACACGCAGTTCTATACAGGCATCCTTTTCTTCTATTATACTGCGAATTAAAGTGGTCATCTTTTTCTGGAAAAAAAAAAAGTAGAAACACGTGTTAGTTTAAAATTAATAGATTACATTATAAATTTATTATGCGTACCTCAAGTAATTGATTTTCTTTGACTAATTGAATCATTGCTGTCATTTCTGCTTCATTCGGCGAATGTACTCGTTCCTTTGGTTTCTTCTTTTCTGGACCGCGTTCCGATAACACTTCCAGTAATCGTTTAATTTCGTATCTTTCTTGATTTATTCGCGATTTTAGCAATGCCTGCATATTTAGTAATTCTTCATAAATTAAACTCTCTCTTAACTTGTCAATAGCATCTTCAGGCTCGGATTCCTCTGCTGGAACTAATGTAATGCTATCAATTACACTTGTTGTAAAGCCATATTAACAATTATGTAATCATACCATTTTCGTTTGCCCTAGACGAAGCATTTTCTTGTTCATTAAATTGTGATGCAAGAGCAGATGTTTCAGCAGAGTCAACGATATCCTTGTCATATATATGAACACTTCGTTCATTTGGAGTAACATTTGTACTTGTTGGTTCTTTATTGTCTTCTGGAACATGTGTTTTACTACTTTTTTTCAACGTCAATGTAGACGTCGTTTGGGCTTCAGATTTTATATGTTCTACATCTTCCTCTTCTGTTTTTGCTTTTTGTACATTTGATTCTACCACAGGTTCTTCATTTGATTTTACTTCTTCATCCAAACTTTTTTGTGCAGCACCTTCCATTTTTTGAACCGTTTTATATTTCCTCTAAAAAATATAAATAAAAATTCATGCACGCTGCATATTATCTATTCATATTTACAAATTTAATAATAGTAAAATCAGACCTTTAATTGTGTTATCATACGTTGTACTTCCCACAATTGTTCCTCGCGTGATTTCGTAACAAAGCCAGCATTCATTTGCATGTGTATTTGCGAGAGTAATGATTCTTGTTTAGATAATTCAGCAGCTATACTTTCTACAGAATCTGGAAGATTAACACTGCCGGACGAAAGTGGCGGCACATATTTTGTTAATTGTACATTTGGAAAGAGGGCTTTGCAGTGAAATAACAAAGCTAATAACAGCCTGTGACTCATTTGTAGTACAGGACTTAATGTCATTGAGATAGTTTGAGCATTCATTTTAGTTGTTTTTTCCTGGAATATAGTTTTATGTAAAATAGATATGTGCATATCTGTGATGCTTGAAAATGTTTTTTCAACATACACGTGCTGTGACATGATCTAAATGTAATATAACCCAAGCAAGAAGAACTTTATTACATTCAGGAAGTTGTTGAGTTATGTGCATTAATTGTACTTCTCGCTGTACAACATCTTTTGTAGATGCTGCTTGTTCAAACCTAGATATCATTTCACTGTTCTCTAACACAGGCTCTGGTAGCTCTCTGTAAAATAATACAAATTTTCGTTTTCACCTTTTTATCTCAAACATGTTTTACAATTAAGATTGTAAAATACAAACCTAAGAAACAATATCATTAAACTTGTAGCTACTGTAGGTTCAAATTCAGATAAATTCACAGGTTCCCTGTGGTTGTATAACTTTTTTAAATACTGAACTTTTGATTTCACTCCTGGAACTTTATATAGACCTTCTATATTCATTCCATGCTCTTCTACAAAATCAATACAATCTCTTACAACTAAAGGTAGTTCAACACCATCATGACAACGACTTCTTTCCACTGCTAAATGCAGGCTAACACCAAATACTGGTTGCTCCTCTGGACAGATAATTAGAATAAATTTAGTTTAACACATTACCAATTAGATTCGAAGAGATTTACACATCTTACCCCCAATATCTAAGCCCTCCTCTCCACCATGCTTTCCTTTTTTACGATCTTTTAATTTTTGCTTTGCTTTATCTTTCTCTTTTTCTTTCCGTTTTTCTTTCTCTACATCTTTTTCATCTTTGTCTTTTTTCTTTTTATCTTTTTCCTTTTCACCATCCTTCTCCTTACCTTCTTTCTCTCTAGACTTTTCACGTTTTTCTTTCTTTGATGGAAATTTGAAAGCTTTGGTCTTTTTTGACTTTGAAGGACTTCTGTGAGTTAAATCATATGCTAATTCAAGTAATAAAGTAGTTGTATAGAATATATAAAAAGATACACTTATTTTATACATTATAAAATTTATTTGCTAATTTACTCATTTCTTAAAGCCTGTAATTTATTCATCACTTCTTTGTGCATATAGCACTAAAACTTT